CAATAGATGTAGGGATCCTGCCAGTAGATTTGATGGGCCTAGCATTGGGTCCCAAGTTATCAGCTAGGGCACTGTCATCGACGTGTGCTGGTTTGAGACAATCAACGCTGACGATCTCGACGCAGCCATGTCGATTAACCTTGAAGGTTTTTTTGGGGCGATAAGTCACGTGAAAAGGCCCTTCGTAAGGCTGTTGCAAAGGTTTTAGTATGAAAACACGTGAACAGGTAGATTACTCTCGAGGGATGTTGTATTAGAGTTGACAACAGAGGCAGTGTTCGCATAAATTCAGACAGTCGGTGGACGTAGTCTGCTTTACCGAAATCGTTACTGCTCCGTGGTGTAAAAAAAACCCCAGGCCGTATACAAGTTCAGCGGCGGAACACTGAATATTTGCCTTTAAGTTTATTCTGATACCTAAGAGAACGAGCGGCACGGCTTCGTACCAACTGTCGTTTTTGTGCTCGAAGAGCACTTTTAATTTGGCGAGGAAACCGTTCAACTAAACCATTTGATGCTGGGTGGTAGGCGGTTGTGCGTATGCATTCCGTACCAAGCAGCCGGGTCAGTGAGAGTAGTTAATCGGGGAAATTTCTCGAATAAAGCGCGGAATATATCGTCACGCCAATGAAATACGCCCAAGATTCGGTACGTGTACATCGAAGTCTATTATATTAATACTATTCTTATCGTTATTCGTCATCTCAAGTTGTTGCCAGAATATTATATATTGAAAGACATCGATATGAAAATGTGCAACAGATGTGGATAGATAAGTAATGGACTCACCGCAATTGCCTTCTTTGGAATATTTGACCAAGGTTGAGACGTGTTCCAAGGTTTGGCTCACCAGTTATAGTGTGGCGTCAAGTCGCGTTTGACTATGATCACCTTACAAGAAGACTACGTGCCAAGATAAGATCCCCCGTAGGCCAAATATCAGAAGGCAGTTGATGGCTGTAGTCGAGATGTATTTGCTGGGGATCTCGTGGTATCGAAAGAATACCGAGGTCGTGTCAGATTACAAGTGGGGTTACTTGGCGTAATCGAATCCGTACAAAATCACAGTCAACGGAAGAAAGAATGTCTTTGGTACAGTTAAACAAACAAATACAGCAAAACAATCAATGTTACGATTGGTTATAATAGTAATTGTTTCTATAACACCAACCGCGTTCTGTTGATAAAAATAGGTCACTACACACTATCTTCTATCCTGATCGCCGGTGATGGTGCCATTAGTTGCTGAATGGGACAGGCGTTCCTCCTTTTGCATTGAACACAGCATTTAATCACCCCCTCATGGCTACACTACTTCTCAACACCCAAAACCTATCTCGAACCGTTTTCATTATCTGTGTAGCTCCAACATGTTCCACCAAAATATGATAATACTATCGAATGAAATTCATGATTGCATGCTCCGATGGTAATATTATGGGATGTTTCCTCGACTCAGACCAAGAACTATTTTGAAGCCGGCCACCGACATACAAACATACTTATCATCACTGGATTTAAGATTCGTAACGGTGAATTTGTTACCTTCACTTTGCTAATGGTATCAGAAGACAACATTTCAACCTCTCTCCGAAATACTATGCTTTGAAAATACAGAATTAAATCTAAGCAAGCTAAATTTAACTCTCCAACTCAAAGCATACCCACCTGTAGTGGCAGATCAGTCCTCCCAAAGTGTATTATCAGTAGATATGGCTTGAACCGAGTTTACTGATGCAACAGCCCTAAGTAATCTAGTCCAATCTGAATAATAATTAATAAGTTCATCACATGCGTGGACATTGCCTTCCTTAATTCCAGGAGATGGAGGTCAGAACCTTGTACAATAACAGCAGCCGGCCAACACTCCTCTGGTTTCTTTAGGAGATGTTGACCTTCGTCCCATACCCAAACATCATTGATGTCAAACTTAATCCTCCTGAATAAAAAGTCTGCCATGTTTTCTTTGGAAAGTATGAATCCCCATTTGTCCACCTTAGTCGAGATTCGGTTTGCTACGAATGTTTTAAACTGACTTTTCTCATTTCTAATATAATGTAAGACAGTCATAGAGTCCGTCCAAAAATTAACCTCTGAAAAGTTACTATCTAACTCGGCTTGCAGCTTGGACCCCATGCAAGCTACTAACACTGCTGCCGTAAGTTCCAAGAGCGGCATAGTCTGAACCTTGAAGGGAGCTACTCTTTCCTTCGCTGTGATAAAACGAGAACACACTTCGGTACCAGGGGTATAACAGCAGACATATGCTCTCAACCCTCGGAAATCCATTCGAAAATTCCAGCCAACGATTGCTTTCTTCCTCTGAAGCCTTTTCGACTCAGCCTAGTCTCAATTTGCCCAAACGTTGAAGTTACTGCTTCATGGGGAGTATAAACGGTGCTAACAATCCCAAGGGATCATAAAGTGAGGCTACACTTGATAATGTACCGCGCCTAGTGAGGGGACGTTTCGGTATGCGGACCTTAAATTCGAATGAATCAACCATAATATTCCAAAACAATCGCAACATGCGTTACGAAGAAGCTTTTCAAAGTCTATCTCTAACAGCATCTGCTCTTTTTTCTGGATGAATTGATTCGAGAACTTGTAAATAGTTACTTATTCACTTGGTGAGTCTAAATCCATCCTTTCTGAGGACTAAACCAAGGGTTTTTGCCAGCTCAATTGCATCCTGAACAATGGAGGGTAAGTAGTCGTCAACATAGAAACTTTTATTTACGACTTCCTGGACATATTTCATCAACTCCCTACCGGATGTATCTACGGTCTTCCTAATAGCGAAATTATCACAAAAAAGAGAGAATGCGGCTCAAAATGGAAGAACTATCAGACAATATTCGTTAGCTTCCCGCCTTATATCACATTCTTCCCACCATAATAGACGAAATGTTCCTCTATCTCGTCTCGGGGTCTTTACTTGGAGAAAAATCTCTTCTATATCAGCGGTTAATGCTATGTTACCTAATCTGAATCGCAGTGGTACACTAATTAAACTATTTACAGTATTTGGTCCTCTCAAAATCTGATCATTGAGAGAATAACCTTGATGGGTAGCTGCGCAATCAAAAACAATTCTCAATTTTCCAGGCTTCTTAGGATTGATAACAGGATGATGGGCAATATACCAACAAACTACATCACGGTCGAATCCCTCCTTACTAGTCTCAATGATATAACCCTTACGCAAATGTTTATCCATCGCAGTCCAATATTTCTTCAGAAGGCTATTATCTTTCGCAAACCTCTTCTTTAAACACCCTAGCCTGCGTCTAGCTAGTTCCAAATTATTCGGTAGCATTGGCTTGTAATACTTCCAGGGTAAACCAACTTGGAAATGGCCATCCACCAATCTAAAGGAACCACTAACTATTTTTAAGGCTCTTTTGTCTTTGACAGAATATCCTTTACGAAACATGTTAATATCCTCGAATTCATGATTATATAATCTTTCCAATATTCAGATAGTTATTAGTACGGCTCGTCGATGTGGCAACTCCACCTTACACTTCCCATGAGTAATGGTATCGATGATAATTTTATTTTGCAATAATGGTATCTATATTTCGGAATTCAATGATATGCAGACACTTAATTGGGATTGCATTTCATCAATATTTTTAGTCATTTTATATTTAAATGCAGTATTAAGAGAAATTCTCATGCATGCCACATCCGACAAAACAGATTTTTTAATCATAGTTTATAGAAACGAGTCTTCAGAGTGAACGTAGCACGACCCTTTTCGGTTCGTTCAACAAAATAACTTAATAGTCTCTGACTTATATAGTAATGCTATATAAAGTATTAATAATGTTGAAGACAGATATTTTGAGCTTCAGACGAAAATCACTACATACAGACGTTTTCTACTAAATGTGTTTGCTTGACTTCAATTCGAAGAGAATTATCTTAGTTCATGGAATAGTTATTGAATTGCATCGAATTTTCATACTCCTAAGTATACATCACTTATAAAAAGTAGCTCGTTCAGAAAATCTAACTCTGATAACAAACAACCTATGTTTACATGGAGTTGTTTTTACCCTCAATTACAATAATATTTAACTAGGAAGAATAAATAGAGTACTTTGCAAATAAATCTCAAAACATAAACTGAAGAATCCAATCATCAATGACTCCATTTTACTCAGTAGCTCAAGGATTTAATTTATCTCATTAATTCTTAGAATATTAAAGATTCTTATTGTGAAAATTAGAACAACACATGTAAGCGAACAATTATTTTCAATTAAATCATCATCAGGCTTTACTTTAATATACAAGAATATTTATACGAAAACGTTAAATGAATCTATTTCATTGTGATTATTGACCCGAATTGCCTTGATTGGTTTAACATTTTCGTATAAATATTCATGTATATTAGAGTAAAGCCTGATGACGAATTGATTGAAAACAATTGTTCGCTTACATGTGTTGTTCTCATTAATTCTTGACAAATGTTCTTCATTACATATGATTACAGAAACATTTTTTGTATGTTATTGGAAAACTGAGTTAGCCTCTGTCCCATAAATTACCAATGATAATACGAGTCAAACAGTAAGGTTCTTACTTATCATTAATCAGATGAGCAAGCGGAACATATCAGACAGATTCGTTGCAATTCATAACACTAAACACTATATGATAATTAAGTATTTAAAGCAATCAGTCCGTCTTCGCATTGTTCTATCGAAATTAAGTATTTATATAAACTGGATTATCATCCTGCCTCAAGGACACAAATTCACGTGGTAGATTGGTAAATTATTCACCAAGCCAAGGATATTATCAACATGTCCGTTTCGGGCAATCTAGTAAAATATTTTTTTTCAACCTCTTCCCCTTTTTCTCAAAGATTACCGTTTGGCTAATTTAACAATGTATTGATCGTTTGCCAAACTATCTTCTTATTGGTTATTTTTCAAGTCAGCAACTAGTGACGAATATATGTAGACATATTTTCTCCGCTAACAGAGTAATTAAGATTGCTTGTGTGAACATTGGCTGGCAATGTTTGTCGGGTCATTTCTTAGTATTTATCTTGTATTCATGTTTCATTTTACTACAGTCTCAGATTCAAGGAGTGTAGGGAAAATTTACAGGAAATGTCGAGCTTCTTGGTCGAAATGGATGGTCAGTAAGACAAGTCTTCACTGGAATGTTAGTGATATTAATTTAAATGTAACGGGACGTAAATGTGTATGGATTAATACCTCGTGTACTCGGAATCGACAATGTCCCTGTGAAACACACTATTCAAAGGAATTACTGGGTGTCCAATTACCCCGAAAAAAAAGCCATGTATGTGTTCAAACGAAGAGCTGTGGTGTTCTTATTTGTTCATCAATTGTTTATTTCGGAAGTAATATAGATTCAAACAAATTGGTTATAAAAACATACAAAGTTGAAAATAGAATTGATGAGAGTCAAAATTTAGTAGGAATAGTTTATGTTCCACTTGATCATAGTACATGGAAATCTCATGAAGAGGATAACACTCAGGCGAAAGGAGTAAGTGAAGAAGTGAAGAGCGAGTCGTATATTTATCTTGATGTTTTACAAACACCTATAAGTCCTGTACGAGGTAAAATTTATTCACCTCTAAGTGATAATAATAATTATGACTATAAAACTGGACACTCACTGATTTTTATAGGATCCCTGTTATTTTCACTTCTGTGTTTATTATTGTTTATTTCTTATTTTGTTAAAATCTGTTACAAAACAAGCTATACTAACCTTTGGAGTATGAAGTATCATTCCACAAAAGCAAACATTCTTATTGATGAAACTCAAGCGGAATCTGATTGATATATTTTTGACGTTTTCTCGTTATTTTATCCTCATAAATTTTTATTAGTAAGACTTCTATCTGTTTTTATTATGCTGTCATTTACATAGATTAATGTCATAATGGAAATGAGTTGGCTCAAAAGTGCAACTACTAAGTGAGTATTCAATGAGCTTTGAATATTGTTTCATATCGATTATTATGTTAACTAACTCAGACTAATGTCACTACTTTATGCAAATGTGCTTATACGGGTATCGGTCATCTACTTTCGATGAAAACTTGTGTTAATTGATGTTATTCTGACAAACTACTTACTATGATTACTTGTGTATGGAACCTACAAAATAATGTACACTCGGATGAACATAAAAATACCAATTTGGATAAAAAAACCAATTTCTATACGAAATAACAAGTCACATCCTCAAATCTAGGTGAGAAATATCTTGACACTGCATCAGATCATTCTGTACACTGAAATTATCTTACAACTTAAATATCCATGGGATTCGTATTTTTTGTAGCAATGATAAGATTTCTAGGGATCCTATCTCGTGTAACACTTGCTCAACGTTTTCTCAGTCAACTTCAACTTTAAACATCCGAAGTTAATTAAAATACTAACAAACTTTCCAAAAACGATACCACGTTTGAGTGCACATCTAAATATCCTGAAGAAGTGTCGATAATTGATAAGATTGCTAACGATTGAGAGATTCATCTAATACGGAACAATGTCTATGCTAACCAGATGAATAAAATAATTAATACACAACACTTTAACGATGACTCATCGCGCAATCAATTAGACGGGTTTTGTACAGCAGAAGTATTGATGAAGACCCCCGAAAGAATAAGAGTATATTTGAGTTAGTCAGTTATATATGGTTCACCATGATTATTTACGAATTTAGTGATTGTCTTTGAATACAAATCATGGTCAAAATGCGTTGAAAGTCTATAAGGTAATGTAACCAAAATGTTCTGAAAGTTGATCTTAAGTAGCTATTGATTTCCTTTCTCATTCGTTGAGTTTTAGGATTCTACATCCACAACATAAAGCAACTATTTAGAGTGTTAATTACTATGCGTACAAGTTGATTAGTTGGTTAATCCTTCAGTGATTCCCCAATAGACAAATGATACTCCTAGTTATAAAGCGCAACCAGCACTAATTTGATACCCCGTCTTCTGTAACCTGTACTATTGACAATAATGTTGTTGCTGCTTATCGTTAAGCGAAATAGAAAGTCCATTTTATTAACTGTACACACTGACACTTCAATGAAGAATAATAGGAATAAATGTATAACTAAATAATTTACAATAAATTTATTTGATAAAAAAGCATCCCTTCAATACATCCACTCATTATTTAGATTATAATGAAATGACATTTTTTGTGGTAGACAAGGATTATATTTTGTTGGTCCTGGATTAAGTAAAGCATCAATTCCACCAGGGCATGTAAGTGAAGAACTATTTGCGACCATATCACCAATGCCAAGAGCAACCGGAACATTTGGCATTATCCAGCGCGGTACATTGGATAGGAAAACTGAACTAGACATAAAATGTTTTGGTACTAGTTCATTTGTGATATTATATGTCCCTGGACCAGGATAATTTTCCTGATCTTTAGTTATAGTTTTCAAAGTTATCATTGATGAATTTGATCTAGTTACGAAAAAAAAACCAATGTATGGTGGTGATTTTAATTAGGATAATTCTAATTGGAAAATTTAGGTATTTTACAAAAATGATAAGTTAAGTTGAAGGTGGATTTCAGCGACCGTTAATCTTACAGTATACATTTTTAGTTCCCAATTAGATGTTTAAACCATCACTCTGTAATTGTGATGAAACACTAGGCGTTGATCTCCTCCCCATAGAAACGTGTTTACATGAATAGATTTCAAGATCTATCACAAAGTTTGTTTATATGAGTCGGATGTTGTATATAACTTGAAGTATATTTGAAAAAATAGTCCATATATAATCATATATAGTCATCTAGTCAAATATTAATATGCATAGATGAAGTTAAGTTGTTTTGTGGACGTAGCTGTTGTATAAGGCAAATATATATGTATAAAAGTAACAGCTAAAATCAGTTTAACAGATTGCACAGCCATATCGATGTATAATTTATTCCTTTAATATTAAACACCGAAAAGACTAACTGTGTAATTACTGACCCAAGTAAATTTAGAACAACTCAATCCGTTTGAAGTGCATTTACTCCTGAATATAATTAAACTTTTTTGACTTAATTTATCGAAAAAAAAGATGTGTAACACTGTTGTATAACATAAAACAATTGTTTCTATCTGGATTTCTCAGACAAGATAAAAAAATGCTTCTTCCTGATAAGTATAATCAGATATGAGGTTCTTGTACATCAACAGCTCCTCGTAAAATTTATTTAACTAAACAATTTAAGATAGAAATGGTAGATTTTCCAACTAATGTTTGTGATAAGAACTTTGTTCAGTCACCCAGCATTGCGTTATAAGTACGAAACTGGTTATCGTTCCAATAAATGATTAGTGATTCGTAAGCAGTAGCTTTTTGAATTGATACTGTTAGAAATTATACATTTTGGTCAGATTTCAACGGGAAAATAGATGTTTCCTATAAATGAGAACGGGATCTACGCGACTAGATAGACAGAAGGATTGAGTTGAGTGAACTTTAACAAAAACTCGACTGGTCATATCTTCAACCAAATGAAACGGTACTTGACTTTAACACATAGCTTACTTTGTTGGAGGTAATTTAGTTAGTTTTAAAGTTGAGTCATTATGATATTTGACCAAATTATATGCTCCTGGCCCAGGAAACTAAATTTATGAAAATAGAAAGAAAGATATATGAAGCATATAATCAGCAATTTAAATTCAATAATTTACTTACTTCTGATGTAGTTCTTAACGTGGAACGCTCACTTTTAGATGCAAAAGCTGAGTGGGGCAAATTAGATTGATTCTGTTTCTCATCAATATCATAATGTCCTAGACAATGATAACAAAGACGAATATTAGATTCTTTAGTTATCTAGATTGAGTGGTAAATTGAACGTACATCACAAAAAATAAGACAGAAAATACTAAACTTACGAAATTGATTCTTGGATGTTCAGTAAGAATGATTATTTAGTAGCAACGTCACGGCATACTAATTACTAAGTACAAAATGTATCAGTAGTCATACCGTGTAAATAGTTTGTTGGAAGTGCTAATTTTTCGTCCCCTTTGGAAAAATATGCACTGTTTGTCAACCTCGACTCCTCGTTCTAACTAAAGTTGTAACGGCAAATCAGAAATAACTGATACCTATACGGAATACGGTAATAACACTGTAATGTTTTGAAGCAAACTGATCTGTCAAGGTTGTGACTCTAAACTAAATGCTGATCACTGTGTTTGCTGACTGAAATACTTCTACCTGCTACTTATTGCATCAAAACGAGATCGCAAGACCAGAAGCAGACTGATTTGCTTCCAAACCACTAATTAAACGACATCGAGAAGTAATATAGTAATTTACATACCATTTTAAGTGTTTAGATCAATCAATAAATATGTACAAATTGAACTATTAGTTAATCAGTAATCTAATTTGCGAATATAAACTTGCAAAATCAGTGAACTAACTGACTTGACTAGGAAATACCATTCATCAATAAATTATTTGTGTTGTTCCTAATAAACAGACTGGATAGTACGACTGAGCTCTCGATCGGTACACTAGGTAGACTGGGTACACTGGATTATGTTACTAGGTAATTAGACAAGTAGACTAGATCATGGGATGAGCAGATATACGAGTCCGGCCAATGATTGAACACCAGGCTAGAAAGACAGGACAATTGATTGTTCAATCTAATTGCAAGCAGTCTGCATGTATTGAAAACCAAATTTGAATTCAGAGTTACGATATGAAGTGAGTGATTTATGTTACAGGTCGTAGAGTGAATCTGTCTGTTCGTTTAGTAACCAATTACGGATCACAAGAGAAATAATCACCAAATCGTAACATACCTCTGAACTAAATTCTTACTGGAAAATGTTGACATCACTATTTAAGTGCCGTCAGATCTGTTAATTATTTTCTAGCTTCAGTCCATAATTACTGGCCACGTTTGTGTTATACTATACTATTTACTAATAATAAGTCGTTTGAGTCGAACCAACTGCTTATGTGTTTAATCTGTTGGATGGAAAGTGTATTTGTTTTCATAAGCATAGATGGATGGTGGCTAGCAGTGGAGTCCAGGATGCGCGTTTCGTCCTATTCGGGACTCGTCAGCAGAATTTACATGTTTTGTGGCCCGGCGTCTGACTCCAGTTAGATCAGACAAATAAATGATCGTTATTGAATGATTGCTGTCGAAATATATATCCTGACTATTCTCGTACATAATTATCGACTTAAATTGCATTAGTGAACTAAGGAATTAAAGAAGTCAAATACGAGAATGAAGTTTTGAATACGTATATTTTGTACACATCGATCTGGACAAACAATCAGAGGAATGAAGCGAAATGACGCGCAGCGGAGAAGGCGTGTGAGCCAACTCCATTAAACCAAAGGTTAATGGATATTTATAGTCACGCAAAGATAAGCTACAGATATGTGTGAATAATTAATAAAGTCAAAACGTGACTCAAGAAGAATAGATAAATTGGCCTGCCCAGTTATATGGGCTTAACATAGTGACCGACACTACATGCATCCGAGTTGACGTTAACTCCAGGACTCGAGCCCAGTACGGTGAAGTTTTAATTCATTTTGTACTGTTTATTGCGGTCCTGAACATGGGAAGATTCAAATAAACAATACGATATGAACTAAAACTTCACCCCATTGCATAAACTAGTCGCTATCAGGACTCAGTAGCTAAGTGGGTAACGCAATGGCATTTAAAGCGAATGGTACTGGATTCGAGTCCCAAAGTGAACAGCAAGTTTGGGATGCTGGAGATGGGTAGGACACTTATTGTGGAAATTCTCAAACTGCATCGCGTGGTAAGCCTTGACTTGGAATCTCCAGTTGAAAAAGGAAAAGAGGCAGACCAAAGAACATAGTGCTCTGGGAATTGGAGTAGATCTTTGGTGGGTTTGTGCATAATCCCTGTAGAGGAGTACCATATTATAGCGGAACAGCAGTCCAATGATTCCTGCTTTTAAATATTTGTCTGGCTAAGATCAGTTTTCGATATAGAACTACGATACTATCCACATAGTTTTCTCATAAATTAGGAGATATCCCGTGGAATCAGTGCATTCTGAGATGCATTTTAATTTACCTGGTCCTGGAATATAAGTTGTCAGTTGTGGAGCATCAAACAGTCTTCCACTAGATGATTTGAATACCGCCATACTAACTCTCGATCTGGAGTTTTTTTCTATTTTCTATAAAAATTAATGAATAAATATATACATATTACAAACATATCATAATCTACATAATTAAAAATACAGTTTATTGGAAAAATACTTTTTTTAGCGATGTCGTCGTTACCATATCGTTTCTTTGAATAATCATAGTTAATTTTCCATGAAAACGGACGTTATCTTTCGTTCTGATAAGTGTTTCATAAAGAAGTGATAAAGAAATATTTTCATTTTTATTTCGAACTTCAAATAACATTCAGATGAATAATCATTTTTGAGCTGATAGGAGCACAGAAAATGTTCGGAATTTAGACTTCGTATGTATGAGTGTTCAACCACTTTGTTGAATGAATAAAAACAAATGTTTCAAAATTATCAAGACTGTCAAACGACTGCGTCTGAAGGAACTACAGTTCGCTAACTTAAGCACTGTCGAGACGGTGGTAATTCATCTTTTTAAACTTTGTGTATAAACATGACATATGCAAACTCTCAATCTAAAAAGGTCCTGACAATTATTTTTTCATGCTCGACAAATAAATCGTCACTTCTTATTTCTAATTCTTTTGAATTACTTGTTATTATTACCTTTACGTTTCTTTTCAGATCTTTTCTTCACATTTCGTATACTGACTAAATCGACAATTATCTTGACGTGATTAAAGTTAGACATGGACATTATTGGATACCGATTCAGTTGTCCAGAGGTTAATTGTTCGCAGATGATAACTAAAGTCTTGAATTAAATTCCCAACAGCAGGATCGTGGATGAACACACCTGAGTGGTTCCATACTAGGACGAAACCCCCGTTCAAAGCTTTCAGGTTTTAATGATTGTTTAGCTAGGAACAGTTCATGATCTCAACTATGAAAGTTATTTTTCGTACATTTTAGCCTCATCTTATCATTTTCTGATGCACCGTTCATTACGTAAGCCTCTTTTGACATCTGAAATTCTCGAGCTCTTCATTATGTAATCAATGCTCCTATTTTTGAATAGATTATATATTAACTACCAACGAAAGCGATTATCCACCTTGAGTCAGTGCTCTCGTCGAAAAGAGTTTGTTTTCCCTGAATAGTCATAAATACTTAGCAAACAAACTCATTTTAGTGTGTTATAAATCAATAAGTATGAAGATGAAATCAGAATAGCCTTTCTTGACAATATACATAATAATAGAAGTATAAAGGTTCATGACATTGTACATAAATGAGGGATTCTGTAGATTTATTTATTTCTTATTTATCCTCAGTACAAGAGGAATATTGTTAAAAAAAACCCAGTTATATATTCAAACACTAGTGAGTAAAAACTATGGTTGGTAAATAATGCAAAGTAAGATCTTCAATGAATATGGAAAGCATAACATATTGTAGGTATAGGTCGGTATTTCGCTAAGCATTTATTGGAAATAGATTGTGTTCAAGACTCGGTTAACAACATTTAATGGAAATCATACCGTTTGGTACCATGTGTGAATCAAATTTCATTGTTTATGAAATCTCACGGGATAAAACATGTGTTTATTGCTAAATACAGAATAGCTAAACTTGAGGATATGGATCAGAAGTTTTCGAATAAAGCACATCATGTAAAAAATTACCAAAACTACTCACTTGGTAATCGCAAGGTGCTGGGATATGTTGGTTTTGTTGGTATTGGTCACATTTAACAGCAATGTTACTTTGAAACGCTCTTGAACAAGGGGCACGATTGAAATCTTGTCTATTTTTAATCTTCGAAATTGATAAATTGTATGCATTTGGTGCTGGCGATTTGAAGTTAAGGTTAAGTCTTCTCTAATAAAGGGAACGAATGTTTCTTTTCACACACTGTTCAGGTGTTACTAAATATTCATTTCACTCGATAATTTTGGTTATGGTGTAATATGAAAAATAGAAATTGAACAAAAATCTCAGGTCTGCATTTTCGTTGGGTAATGATTGATCTATAAATGCCCTTATTCTATACCTTTAAAATATTTAAAGCAGATTTTGACAGTCTCTTCTGTTCAGCAATAATGTTTGTACCAACTTTTTTTATCGATAAAATGTATTCACCAGTCTACTTTGTTATTAGTAGGCTTTCTGGCAACTTAACATATACAAGCCTATTATCAAGTCAGTATTGTATGAGCTAATAAAACTGTTTAAATAGTCAGGTTGAAATTAGTGTGATCGTTAATTTTAATTTTCATCAGCCTGTCTGATAGTTTAAAGCCAAATTTTGTCATAAACAACCTGATAATTGCTATATGTTTAGTTACGTGTTGAGAAATGAACCGTATGTATTACTTTCTTCAACCAAAATGTTTGTAAAATATTAAAAGAAGAACCTTGATAAGGATATTTTATTTATGCAACTAAATCATCAGAAAAAATACAGGGTATTTTTGTCTAGAAAAGACTATAATATGATCACAACCTAAAGTATAGGTGGCAAATGAAATATATTTAAGGCAGGATTATTCCAGCCAAGTGAAAAGGCTGAACATTTTGGGTGCGGTGGAAGACCTGGAACTGTTACTTACTACCGAATACGAAGAACGTATAAACTAATTTGTTTATACTAGTTTGTTAAGAAGAATTTTCAATTGATGATACTAATATAATTTGTTTGGGATTTTACACAAATGATCTCAGAGACGCGAAAAAGCAGAAGTTTATACTTTCCCATTCAGTATATACCGAACCATGACGTATTGGAGTATAAATAGAAAAGGAATTAAACGGTCCTTCGTTAAGCAGACAAGAGTTTCATGGATTTTCAGTTTCTTTTTTATGAAATATGCATGCAATTAGTAATTTTCTGAGAATAAAGAAGAGTAAGTACATTTTTCTTTTACTAGCCCTGAAAAGATTTATTCAACACTGTTTGGATGACATATATATGTCACAAATATATGAGTCATTTGTTCGGTGATTTAGTTTTATAGACTCGCTTCTAGACTGTTAAAGGTTGTGCATCCCATAAACCTATTAGCTAAATTCAGTTAAATGTATTGTAAACTGACATTATATAGTATCAGAAACATAGATAATTACCCCTGGGACTGGGCCAAATGAACCGTACTTTGAACCGGTCTTGTGTATCATAACTGTGCAACTTTCTGCTGTAATATATAACCTAAATGATTAATGGTGGTTGGACTCAATTATTTATAAGTTGTCAAGGTCGTTGCCATGCCAGATGTTCAGATAGTTCAAATGGTTGTGGACGGAATAGAAGAAGCTTTCTGTTAGTGGGCTTCTGAATCTAGTACGCGTGGATCACCAATACCGCCAGGCAAGAATATCAACGATGATAGGGGAAAAAAATCTGTAAATCATAGTAACATATTATCCTTAGTCCTTAAGTATAGGTTAAGTTTCCTCTTAAAGAACTCCCGAAAAGTCTCTTGGACTAGCTCAGCCGGTAGCGGATTCCAGCATTTGACAACTCTTAATAATAAGGTTTATCTGCTAGGAATGTACTGAGTGCAGTTTTAAAAGTTTAAAAACTTTGTAACCTTGTAGATTGCAATTAGGGTCGAAAATCGACATTATCGTGTATGAATAGTAGTGATACAAAGTATTTATGTGATACAACTGTTTAGAGAGCTCATAGTTTTATCAAAGTACACATAAAAGACTGTTGATATGAGTTACTACCTTGAATGGAACGTATGTTGCTTGTTGCAGGCGTAAAAAGCCCCACTGAGGACGTGATGCTGAAAGATGAGAGAGGAATGAGCAACATAGCAGGCGAGTTTATAATTTATGGACGAACAAGTTAGATTTAGGATAAGAGGTCTTGAACTTTAGCGCAAAATCCATTGACTCACCAGACGAATCAACGTTTTGACATTTTAGCTCATGTCGGTTTGTTGTGAACAACTTAAATGTAATTCTCCACCCTAACTATGTTCTTATAAGTCGTCATCCTGAATCCTCACACAGGTCTGTAACCTACGTTTAGTCCTAGCAGGCAGGCGTACGCTGAAGATTTATTTAGTGTCGTTCAAACATTGTCAATTCGATGGTGGTTGGAGGTAGTCGACAAGAAACCCGGGTTTCATGCTACTTGGCACTCGTCAGCAAGGTGTATCTGTAATCTTTGAGGGAACAGGTCTCCCTGACGGATTCGATCCCGTGTCACCCAGCTTCTCAGTCAGAGACGTTACCACTAAGCTATCTTGGCCGCGACTGACCTCCTGTAGGACTGAGATGTAATCACAACTGGTTGATCACTGGGTGGAGACAAATGTCATGCGTGTCTTGTCCTTATTATTAGTGCAGATCGAATGCTATCGATCATGTTGCAATGTAGTGAGTTTGTGAGTTATGGCTGCATAGATGAAAGATCACTGGTATTAGGCAAGGAATTGTGAAGTACATTTGACAACTCTAGGTTGGTATTGAGCGTCCCTTGAGATCGATTTTAGTTGAGCAGTATAAGTACGTTCGGTGAGTTATGTCTACTTCAATAAAAAATTAACGGGGGACATACAGCTGTGGAGACATACCCAATACATCTGCCAAGAAGGAGAGAAATTGAGACTAAACGCAGAGTATAATATGATTTGGATATGAATATGACTCAGTTGTATTCGCATGTGCTCAATGTAAGCAAGGCCTTCATTTAGGCTTTTACAGTAGATATGTATACCTCGAGGTTTGTACATACGTATGTACTCCAGGGCCAGTTACTGATATGAATTTGAGCATCACGTACTCGCTAAGCGTTTGTTTTATTTTAACAGACATATTTTCAATATAGAGCTGATCGAAGTTCTCTGTGTCGAGTTTTAAGCTGAAGCACCTACAACAAATATCTATCTTGTTGGTTTTATGTCGGATTGTTTAAGTAGTACTGTGGATTTTTGGTCTACTTCGGTATAATTACTACTATAATAATAGTCTTAATCCCGAAATTGTAGATTTGTCATGATGTGACTATCTAACCTACAAGATCTTATGTGGGAGTCACACCATTCTTTGCACTGATTCGTCCTACCGTGACAATCAGCAATATGACGTCTAGCATTTCTGAAGAACACACTTGAGTTGGGAAGACAGTAATGTGCTTAATACGAAAAATAAGAGGTTATAGTGACTGCGCCCGCATGACCAAGTCATTCTACTTCCATTGAATGTTGTAGCGTTGCCTATTGCTTAGGACATGCCCCTCAGATTTGATATTCACACCGGATTCGAGACCTAGAGTGGACATCAACTCTGAGATACAGATACATCCAGCCGACGTGTCCCAAGTAGAACGAAACGCGCGTCTTGGATCCCACTGCCAGCCAATACCTATCTTTGTTTTTAATGCTTGTGAATTAAGGCAATACGTACATTATGCACATATGCCAATAAGAGACTGATCAATCGCAATCCTAAACATCAATGGGAAGATTCAAGTGAACAATACCAAGTGGATTTAAGGATATTTTGATTCATTGCTTAACAAGTGTAATAAAGAATGGTCGATCATGGTCTAGATAACGTTATAGACTGCGGAAAAAGTGACTCAGGATGGAATGTCAAGCAACAACTATCCCCTCAAAACTACAGGAGCACTTTGCTGACGAGTTGAAAATAGCGTAAAACCGATTATCTCCAACCACCTAGCATCAAAAATAAGATGCTAAACTTAATTGTGTTAGACGTTGCTTAGCCTCAACCATCTCACTTTTGCGCAATATATAGAGATTTTCACTCATATAAAACTTGGTTATGAATGTTTTATGTTTATTAATAAGAAAAAGTGTTATTGACTGATGTTTTTAAACCTATTCTTCAAATAACATGAGTGTATCACAGAAACTGTCGAATATTGGAGATAATTATTAGAATGAACGATGAATTTCAATCTTATGAACATTCTTCGAGCTATTTTTGAAGATTGACTCATCCATAAATTTCGGCTTTTATTTTAGTTGCTTAACATGTACATTTTTTTCTAATATCTAGCCTCA